CCAGTATACAGGCGGGAGACAAGAACCACCCATCCCTATAAGCAACCAGCTGATTTGGAGGAACACAGGCTGAGTTAATAGCAACTGAGGTACAAAAATGACTTAATGCTTGTATTGTTTGATTGACTTTGCAGACTAAAGACAGTAGTCTGAGCCTTTATTTAGAGGATAACAATATGCAATATAGCAACTATGGGGGATTTCCTTCTGTCTTGTTTTTGAAACCCAATGTTGTTCTGTTTTGTTGTTTCATTTTATTGTTTTGCTTTCTTCAATGTTCTGTTTTTGTTTTTTTTTTTTTTTTTTTTTTTGTCTTTTCGTTTTTATCGGTACCAGGGATCGAACTCACGACTGCCTGCTAGCAAGGCAGGCGCTTATGCCGCTGAGCTAAATCCCCAGCCCCTCAATGTTCTGTTTTGATTGGTTTTATTCTGTTCTGTTTTGATTGATTTTATTATGTCTGATGGTATGGACAGCAATTTTGAAGATAACAAGAGATATTATGGTGGTCATTTTTGATTTCCTGTTATCCTGTTTTGAAGTCCTGTATCACTTTCACTGTTTTTGACTGGCTTTATTCTGTTTTATTTTCTTTAAAATAAAATTTAAAAAATAAAGGCACCAACATAAACTTTGTTTAATCAGTGAATAAACTGACTGTACAGATAGAGTGCAAAGTCTAAAATATCTTTACAACATGTAATGCTCCCTCCATGAATAAAACATTTGTTTCTTGGGAATGCATACGCTAGGTGTTAGTTCCATAGGTTGGAAGAAAAAGGGAGAACTTACAAAGGGAGAAAACTCCATAAAGAAAAGTAATAGAACTGGAAGGATAAGGAAGGAGAAAAAAAAACTGAACTAATTAATTAATTCCAAAATAAATCAAATCAAATAAAGAAAAAAAAACACGTGAAAAGAGACCGATTGCAGTGGAAAAGAAAAAAAGAAAGCGTTTGAACCACTAGCCCTGTACCAATACCTGTTATGCTATTAGAAAAAGAACTTCTGAGATCTCTGGAACAGTTATCAGCTATGTGAAACACAAGGATGTGAAGCCACACAAGCTCCGGAGCAGAGGTCCCCTCAACAACGTCTCACTCACGCTTCTCTCCCTCCTTCTCTCCTCTGATCCTTCCTTTTTCTTTCTCAGCCCCTCAGGACTGCATGTGCACACACCCACAAAGACCAAACAGCCTGTAGAGAAATGCACCCACACAGACGTTTATACCTAGAAACACATATGGTCAGGTCCAGAAGACCCATATCCACAGTCATGTCCACGTGATACAGGAAAATCTACCCACAAGGGTTTATCCGCAACCCGTTTCCACACAAAGACAAAATGAAACCTAAAACTTGAGATCAGATATATACAAAGTGAAATGTATTCAGAGAAAAAGATGAATATTTCAGGAATCCTTCTGTTATCCCCACATATCATTAGACAGACACCAGCAGCTTATGCATGCTGTTGCCTACATTTGGATCACTCCCTTTTCTAATTCCATATATGAAAGTCCTCTCTCTGATCTAAGTACCAGTTCACTTGACACTTTGTCAGATAATTTCAGCTAAAATAATCTCTCTCCTCTTTACAGATTTATACAGCAGTTCATCTACCAAGATGGGAGAGATGGCAGGTTAGGAGGGACTTAGTTCTGTTCTGAAGGTGAAGTCCTAATTTTATTACTACTGGGATCTCAAGGAATCAGGATGTTGTCCGCTGATGCATCACAACATCATGGGACCATTGAGGTCTCAACTGTGACCTGAGGCACGAGGAATTGCGTTTCCCCATGTCATAGCTGGGAGGCACAAAAAATATGTTCCCACATACCACAGCGAGATCCACATGGCAAGGCAATAGGCTTAGACAAGCCCTAATCACAATTTGATTATGAAATTATTTTCCCCAACAATTATATAGAATGGTCCTGCACAATATCCTTTGCTATGGATAGGAAGAACTAACATGATGAAAATGGCCATATTTCCAAAATTGTTATATAGATTAAATATAATTCCAATCAAAATACATATGTCACAGAATTAGAGAAAACAATCTTAAACTTCCTTTGGAACCAGAAGAGACATAGAGTAGCAAAGGCCATTCTGGGTAACAAAAGCAAGGCAGGGCACATCACAATCCCAGACTTGAAATCATACTACAAAGCTACTGTGATAGAGATGGCATGATATAGGCAAAGCAAAACAAACAAACAAATCAGATCTGAGATCAATGGGACAGATTAGAAAATGCAAAGACAATTCCTGACATACATAGTCACTTTATCTTTGACAAAAGTACCAAACACCTTTACTGCAAGAAAGACAGTCTCTTTAATAAATGGAAAATCTGGCTTTCCATGTGCCAAAGATAAAAACGAGACCCACCCATATCTTTCAGTATCCACTAAACTAAAATTGAAATGGATCAAAGATCTTAATATTAAAACAGAAACATTAAATCTCTGAAAGAATGGATAGAACTCTTGAAGACAGACATTGGTGTAGGCAAACACTTTATGCATAAAACCCCAATTACAGGAATCAAAGAATCAACAACTGTGATCTCATCTTATTAAAAAAGCTTTGCAGCAAGGGACTCAACTAACAGAGTGAGGAGTCAACCCATAGTGTCTCTGGAAAAGAATTTTTGCCAGCTGTTCCTCAGACAAAGGACTACTCTCTATATTATATAAAGAACTCAAAAATCAGACCCCTGTCCAGATTTAAAGGCCTAATCAAAAAATAGGCATCTGAAAGGAATAGACACTTCTCAGATGAAGAAATAGAAAGTAAATATATGAAAAAATGTTTAACGTCATTGATCACTCATGAAATGCAAATTAAGGCAAATGTGAGATTTCATCTCACCCCAGAAAGAATTATTAAGATTATTAACTTTTATCAAGAAATCCACCAACAACAAATGCTGAAGGGGTTGTGGGGGAAAAGGAGCCCTTCTCCACTGTTGGTGGGAGTGCAGACCGATGCAACCACTGTGGAAGTCAGTGTAGAGATTCTTCAAAACACTAGGACTAGAGGCCCCACTTGTTCCAGCTGTTCTCAGTATATCCTGAAAGAATTAAAAGCACCACACCCAGCAATATATGCACATCCATGTTTATAGTGGCACAGACTATAAAATAGCCAAATCTTGAAACAGCCCAAATGTCCATCAGCTGGTGCACAGATTAAGAAGGTGTGTTTGTTTTGTTTTGCTTTTGTTTTTGTTTTGTACAGTGAAGTACTACTCTGCATAAAGAAGGGTAAGTTTGAGACATTTGTAGGTAAATAGCTGCACCTTGAGACCATACACTAAGCAAAATAAATCAGGCACACACGTGTAAATACCATATTGTTTCTCTGGTGTAAGAAACCAAAAGTGTAAATAAGAATCAAAGTGCATTATAGATAGTGTGAAATAGGACAAAACTGTTCAGATGGAGAAGGGTACATGGTGGGAAGGGGAAAGGAAAGAAGGGAAAAGTAAAAAAAAAGAAGGAAAAACCGGAAGCAAAGCTTTTGTAAATCAGGAGTGGAGGAGGGGTTGAAGGAAGGGTAGGCAATAGGAAAAGAAAGAAACAAGTTACATCGTGTACAGGCACAAGTTCTTTGTGATGAAAGGGATCATTATATGTATACCTAACATGTACCAATAAAATATGATTGAAAAAATGCACACTTTAAAAGTGGACCAAGTTGTCATTATTAAGTCTAGAAAGAGCATAATAATTGCCAAATATCATTAACTATCCAGTCAGTGTTTAAATTCTCAATTGGTTTATAAATTTATTTTTATTTTTAGTTTGCAGGACTCAGAATACAAATACAATCCATAAACTGTAATTAATCAAAATGTCTTGTCTCTTTTTTACATCATTTTTTTTTGTCTTTTTGAGACAGGGTCTCACTATCCAGTTCAGGCTGGCATTGAGCTCATTTTGTAGCCCAGGCTGGTCTCGAACTTGCAACGATCATCCTGCCTCAGCCTCCTGAGTGTTAGGATTACAGGCGTGAGCCACCACGCCCAGCAATTGCTCTCATTTTTTCCCTTAAAATTGTGTTGTTAAAGAAACCAGATAATTTGTTTACACAAGATTCTCCTAGTTGCATCCCTGTGGTTTTAGAACATTTATTTTTCCTCTATGCTTCCTGTAAACTGTAGCTACATCCAGGAATTCGATCAGATTTAAGTGCAATCCTTTTGAGCAAGAGTACTTCACAGGCAGTGTTCCGGGGTACATTCCTTTAGAACGTACAGAATATCTGGCCAATATTTATTATACTTGTAATATCTGGTGCTTAGTTGTTACAGTTTTCAAAATTTCTACTTTGAAGTTTTTGCTTTTCATAAAACCAAATTTATCCATGTTTATTTTATGGATCTTATTTTTGGTATAATGTCTGAGAAATCTTTGCCTAAATCAGGGTCACAGAGATTTCCCCCTGTTTTCTTCTACAAGTTTTAGTTATTTGACCCTTTAAAAATTTTTTTGAAAATCACCAGAGCTGCATCCAACAGAACTTTTTTACACTGATGAAAAGCGTTGATTTTTCTGTTCTACTGATAATACAAAATTTCAGCAAATGCAAATGTCATGACATGAATAATTTAATAAAATGCTAATAGTAAATGTTTTAATTTTAATTTTAATGCCCCTTGCATAAAACTCTCCATTTATATATTTAATGCTGACTTTTAAGAAAAAGGAATATCCTATATTCTCCAAAAGTTTTTGTAGACTTTAAAAAGCCCCAAAATTAAAAAAAGAATTGCAAATACTGTTTCTTATTCTGCTATCCTTTACAAGTATCAGTACAAGAATAGCATTAACGTTTATAAATATTTGTAAATGCTTTTTACAAATGCCTATCTTTTGTGGTAAAATGTATAATATATGTATAAAATTTACTATTTTAGCCATTTTAAATTTACAATTTGATGACATTAATATATTTACATTGTCATGTCTCTGGTTCTTTTTTTTCCCTTTGGTTCTTCTTCTTCTTCTTTTTTTTTTTTTTGGTACTGGGAATCAAGCTCATGACCTTGCACTTGTCAGGCAGACACTTGCTAAATCCCTGGCCCTTGTCTCTGATTTAGAGGGCATTGATATTCATGTATGGAGAGAGGAATGGGCTGACAGGAATTGCTTTTGCCTACTGATATCAGTTGTTTCAGAGTCATTTGCTGATGGCACTAACTTTTCTCACTGAACTGATTTTGCACTGCTATCAAAAATCACTTGTCTGGATATGTGTAGGTCTATTTACGGATTCTCTGTTCCAGTCCACTGATCCATTTGTCGCTCTGTATACCAGTACTGCACTGTTTCAATTAGTACATCTTTATTAGAAGTACTACAGACATCAACTGTAGTATTTTTAATACCTTTGGATTTGTGATGTTACCTCTGTCATTCTCAATACTGGTAATTTGCATCTTCTGTTTTTTCTTCATTTTCTCACAACTTCTGAGAAAATGAGGGACTCTGGCTTTGATGAGGATCCCGTTTTCTGAGCAGGAGTCTTTCACTAGACATAAGCCGTGTGCAATTCTTTTACCAGGTTCCTTGTATCTGTAGGGTGCCTGTAAGTAAAGACCGCACCACTGAAACTGAAGTTTTAAATGTAAGAGGAATACAGTTTCCTTCATCACAGGCTCAGCAAGGACTAGTAATCCTGAGAATTATCACTCCTCAGAGGTTAGTCATTCCTAAATACTTACAGCTCAGGGTGCTACTGCTTTATGATTAATTTTAATCCTTAATACATCGGTTGCTGGACTCTGCTCCTAGAGAATTCTTATTCTTTAAACATGGGGTGAGCCCAAGAAACCCACATTTTCACAACTCTCCCAGTAATTCTGGTTTAAGGCTAGGACTGGTATGGTTGAGAGCCCCTCAAGCAAATCATCTTGTAAAGTTTCTGTCACTCCTGGGACTGGACACATTGAGTGGGCAGGTGCTGCCCTCTAGTGCCACTGGCTGCTGCTGACCAGTGCCACTATACTACCGCACAGTGCACTAACCAGTTTGTGAGCTCTGGTGGTCTTCCTGCCCGACACTACTCTAGGGCTTCTTGTCCAACTCCAGGAAATTTTGGCTCTTGGGCACTAGCAAAGATGTTCACGTATAAAAGTGTTGCTGCTGAATGGAAGAAATTATATATCTTTGTTCCCATATGCTGGTACCTCTTACTCGCTCAACAGTGTCATCTGGGGATGAGACAGTGAAACCTTCTACCGGCTGCTATAGGGGCATAAGACTCATATCAGCGACATTTCAGGATGTTTCCTTGCAAGGCTTTGTGATTCATAGTGTTTATAAATAAGTAGCCATGAACAGGTTCCTGAAGAAGTTCAATAACAATAATTTGTGGCTGTAACATTCCAGTGGAAGCAGGGTCTGGCTTTAAACAAGCTTCCTATAAACTAATGTAAGAATCTTTTACAGTTGAAGAGTTCACAGAGCCTTTTCATGGACATCTTTGTTTGCTGATCAAGCCTTAAGGCAGGAAGGGCAAAGGTGATGTATGTAATATCCCAACATTAAAAATGACAGGCTGTGTGTTCACTGTGTGAATGTGCCCCTGTTTAGACAGACTGTCATCCCAGTGGTCCTGTTGAGCACCAAATCAGTAAACAAATTTATATTAAAGACTTTTAAAAAAAAAAAAGGCACCAAATCTTCCGGGGTTAGCACCCTTCTCTAACTCCTCAGCTCGGAGATGGGAGCAGGAGCTGGGCAAGCTGCTGGAGAGGAGTTCTTAGCAGAGAGTTTTAACAGCATAGTGGGATAACAGTGTCCGTGTTATCCACACGGTAAAGAGCACATTGGTTGGCTGGGACAAGTTTTTCTGTGCTCCTTTTGCTTGAATGGGAGCTGTCAGCAGCAGCCTGGAGCTGGCTTCGAGGAATAAATGCGACACAATGGTGCCGACAGTTCCAGCACAGAGGCTGGGGTAGGAGGAGGTTTGAACCCAGGAGGCGGAGACAGGCCTAGGCAACATGGTAAAACACCACTTTTTGAAGACGTTACAGGTTGAGTATCTTTTATCTGAAATGTTGAGACCTAGAAGTATTTTGGGCTCCAGCTTATTTTCTTTTTGTAATGTACATAATGAGGATCTCGAGAATAGGACCAAAGCCTAACCCTGAAACTCACCTGTGCTCTATATATACCTTTTACACATAATCTGAAGGTTATTTCATACAATATTTTAATGTGCCGGTGTTTTGAGAGTGACATGTCATGTGAGGTCAGCTTTAGAATGCTCCATGTGTAGTATCACTTTGGCATATCAAAACCTCAAAATTCAAATCATTTGGGCTTTTATTCTGCTTACGGTCATTGCTTGTGGTTTAGCTAACCTGTTATTGAAAAGCTGACACAAGCTGTTTTTCCCTTGACTTTCAGTAACTGGTCTTCAGTGCTCTTTGGCTGAGTAAGCTCCTGTATTTTGAAACTTGTATGCTCAGAAAAATAAGTTGAAATGGCTCAAAATCATTCCATCTTCATGTGGACCTTTTCTTAAATTATCTCTAACGTAAAGACCTATTGTATTTTTGTAACTATACAAAGGATATTTAACAAAACCAGTGATCCATTTCTTTGTGAAATAATTTTCAAAATATTCTTCCTTATAGCTAGTAAAAATGATGAATCTGAACCAGGGGTTTAGCTCAGCAGCATAAGTGCCTGCCTGGCAAGCACAAGATTGTGAGTTCGATTCCCAGCACCCCCACCTATAAAAAGATGAATGTGCCTTTTTGATCGCATGGTTTTGTGTTAAAATATACTTAACATAAAATTAACCATTTTTGTCTCTTTTCAGTGGTGATGAGGGTTGAACCCAGAAACTTGTACACACTAGGTGAGCGCTTTACCACTGAGCTACACCTCCAGGCCCACTTCAACTGCACAATCCAGTGACACGTAGGCCACTTACCGTGTTGGGCAATCACTACCACCATTCATTTCCAGAATTCATTCACCCTCCAAACAGAAATTCTGCACCCATTAAACACCAAGTCCCTATTGCCCACCTCTCCAGCCCCAGTAAGGCTGGCTTTGATTCGTGTGAATTAGTCTAATCTTCAAAACATCTTAAGGCACCTTAAAAGCAGGCCATACAGTTCAGAAGTCTTTCTGTCTTTACACCTCTGACTCAGCATTGAGCACATATTGAGCAGTCAGTGTGCCTGTTGGGAGGAATGCTGGGAACCGGAGGAAGGTTAAAAGACCTTTTCAGAGATTTGGGGCCTAGGATTACTCTTTAATCATGGCAAGAACTTCTCATGGAAACTAGAAACCTTGGAGTGTTGGAGGCAGTCTATCATGCTGTGAGAGGCCACAGGGTTAACACTAATATCTGAATCAGAATGGTAGGTGCTGGTGTTGAATGGGGAAAGATTCTACCATGCTTAAAAATACGCGTTTCCATAAAACACTCTTTTCAATCACAGTGGATTCAACCAAAGAGGCACAAGTTAATTAACAGTCTTTCTAAATATCCTATTTCTATGAATAACCTGGATGTGACAAGATCTGTAGAGGCCAATTCTGGAAAATTGAGCCTTAGGCAGAGTTCCAGAAAGTAGCCTTATTCCCTTCCTCCAGGGAAGGCAGTGCTAACAATCTCTTCCCACCAGTCTCAACTAGACCACACAGCAAGGAGGAGTCTTTTTTAACTTTCAGAACACTTAAAAGGACCCCAGAAGTTTTGTGATTTCCTTGACACATTTGCCATAATTCTCTTCCTGAACCTCTCAATCCTAACCACCCACCACCACAATATAGTTTTGAGACTTAACCCTGTGATGCCCGCTTTACGCTTCTGAGTAACACCCAGGATACACTTCATGGATTTCCTCCGACTTAGGCACTACTTCAAAGTCCACATAGTGTACACAGTCACAGTTACCTGGGGGAACAAGTGTCACACTGTTGTAGTAGTGGAGAGAGAGATGAGCTTTGGGATCAAGGAGTAGAAAGAACTTGAAAGGGCATATATCGCTGTGACCTGGGAGCGTTTATCTCAGGCCCTGCAGCCTATACAGACAAACAGAAATTCTCATCTGAACCCCTGAATTTTTCACATGTGCTTCTCTAAGACAAACACAACTCTGTGATGCCACCCTGCCTTGTGAAATAGGAGGGCTTTATGATGTAGCCCAGTTGTCTGGACCCATCATCTGTGAGGCACAGATGACAAGGTATAGAATCTGGGAGCACTAGGTTCCAAGACGTGGAAGCCTAGGCAGAGGGATGGCTAGAAAGGCTTAAATCATGCAGAGCCCTGCCTTTCTTCTGTGGGATGTGGACTATACCATATACACCTGTGGATCCATCTTAATTATTGTACTAATAATTTGGCAAGTGAAAAAAAGGCACCAAAAGTTAATGTTGACACCTAGCAAGAGCTGTTGTCAGGTAGGGAAACACTGGGACCATGACTGAAGGAACAGCATTCAGGAAGGTTTTATCCTTCACTTTCTGCTGATGCCCTTACTCCTCTCCTCTCCTCTCCTCTCCTCTCCTCTCCTCTCCTCTCCTCTCCTCTCCTTTCTTCTTTTCTCCTGTCTTGCTCTGTTCTCCTCTCCTCTTTTCTTGTTCTTCTCTCATCTCCCTCTTTCCCTCCTCTTCCTTCCCTCCCCTCCCCTTTCCTCTTCTTCCCTTCCCTTCCCATCCCTCCCCTCCCCTCCCCTCCCCTCTCCCTTTCCCTTCCCTTCTCTTCCCATCCCTTCCTTTCCTAGCCCTTCCTTTTTTTCCCTTCCTCACCTCTCTCCTTCCGTCCCACTTCTTCCCTCCCCTCTCCTCTCCTTTCCCTTCTCTTTCCTTTCTGAGTACTGGGGTTCAAACCCAGGGCCATTGCACTGAGCTACATCCCAGGTCTTCATTTTGTATTTTGAGACAGGGTTCTACTAAGTCACTAATTGCACAGCCAGAGCTCTGAGATTACCTGTGCACCACACCAGCTCCCTCATCTTCTAACAGCTGTGGTGTTCTTCAGAGTCCTGGACAGCCCCCAGTTTAGTGATCATTTATGGCCTTTAATGCTTGGGACCTTTTGGTGACTAGTACCACCCCATTCTTTAATCGGCTGCATTTTCCTCCTGTCTCAGCTAGAGCTTCCTAAAGAATCTGTCTACGCAATGAGGGTGAAAGGTATAATGTATGGGGGAAACTCCAAGTGAGTCAGAAGCAAACAGAGAAGGAAAGGTCGGTGTGAAAAGGATAAGGCATGAAAAAGGTAGAAAAGCATAAAAGTGGACTAGAAGAAAAAGACTGGGAAGTTTTTATACAATTTTAAACATCAGAAAATGGTAACCCAGCCTCATGTTCTAATGTTTTTGTCTTTAAGCATCAACGAAGAGATAAACACAGGTCTAGAGAGAAAACACCAAGAGGTAAAGTTTCAATTCTCCTCTGATGCCCCTCCACTGTGAATGAGGTGTCCACAGATACTGACAGGACGCTGAAAGGGGCGCCACAACCTGGGTGCTCTCACTGTTTGAAGACTTTAATATCCCCAAAGATAACTGCTGACAGAAGACTTACTTGGGTGGGCAATCAGAGGCTGTGAACATCCCGAAATCCTCTCCCTGGGAAGGAAGAATGAGGAAGTACAGCAAATGTTGTAACTGTGTCATTTGCTGGATTTACTCCCCAGGGAAGTCACTGCATCTCTCAGTCTTGCTCTCCATAAGATGGGCATGGCACCAATGATCCTGCCTCACACTCAGTGGTTGTAAAGATCAAATGAGGTTAGGTGCACAGCACCTTGTAAATGGTTAAGGGATCACAGCTATGACATGGAGGGTTAATTTCAGGTTTTCAGTCCCTCTCATTCAAAAACCTTCAGGCTGTCTGTAGAATGCCCCTGAATCCTCTGCTGGCTACTCACCCTTATATCTTGGTTCCTCAGCTAACAAATCCTCCCAGAAAGAAGCTGAGAAGCTGCAGAAGCTACTGTCCACCATGAAAAGGTGACTGGTTTTGCTCTCTAGTCTCCCAACTCCAGTCTGTACTATAATGTCTCGGCCTATCCCTGGGCCAGGGATGAGAAGTTGGGGTTCATGGCTTGCAAAGGAGACATCAGTGTGGTTGAGGCTGTTGCAGTGATTGAGTTGTCAAGGTACAGGGTGGTTTAGACATCACAAGAGGGAAGAATCACTCAATTCTGCATTGTGCTAGTGTAGTTCTACAATTCAAGATTTTTTCTGTGCATTGTTCATAAGAGATGCTACAAGGAGCCATGAAGCAAATTATCTAGGCAAGAGAATCTTTTGGCTGGATGTGATTGTACATGTCTGTAATTCCAGCACTCTGGGAAGACCACAAGTTTAAGCCTATTCTGGGGCAACTTATTGAGACCTTATCTCAAAAAACGAAATGTAAAACTGGACTGGAGATGTGGTTCGGTGCAAAGGCTCTGGAGATAACTCCCAGTCCCCTGGTCCCACAAAATAATGCATTTTACATGAAGAAAACAGCATTTTCATGTACTCTTTCAGCTACAGACTTTCAGAGGAAGAGTCCTGGGTCTGGCTGGACCCTGCAGATGCTACCTCCTCTGGTCTGTCTCCAAGGAGGCCAGTTCCAGGGACACTATCATACAATAGCTGATCATAAAATCTCAAGATTTCTAGAGAGTAGGCCTAATTCCCGGGAGATGCTGAGTGTCATGGCAGGGATACCTCAGAGGTCTCAGAATTAAGGGTTTCCAAAAAGATCTCAGTTTGCATATTGTGCATAGGCCCAGGACTAGGACTTGGGGTGAGAGGCAGTAATCCCTAGGCCACATTCTTCCAAGGAGAGAGATGTCCCCCATCATTAACGGTTTCCATCTTAACCCTTTCAGCCAGGGGTGGCTTCCCCAGAAAGGAAGTGTGCGGCGGCTCCTGTGCAGGGATCCCTCCTGCCAGATCTGCAACACTGTCGCTCTGGAGATCCAGCAGTGGCTCGTGGGTGAAAACAAGCAGATCTCTCCTACTGTAGCAAAACCGTCACACAGCTGTTCTTGTCTAAGAACGTTGTCCACATCAAGTGTGCCTTTTGAACAGAGTCATAGACGGAGTTTCCAGAACTCCAGAGAGCTTTTCCTGACACCTGGTGCCTCATTGACACAACTAATAGACCAGAAATCTTTACCTCAGTCAGCTTCCCAGTCGACTGGTGGAGTCAGCATCGAAGAGCACTGGTCTGATCCCCTCCAGTCAATTCCAGCACCACATGCATTCCAGGATGTAAAAACTCTCTCTTCACCGAACCTTGAAGAACCTGAGATTCCTGTGAACTGGAAGGAGAAAACAAAGAGTAAGCCAACTCTTGCCCTGATGAACTCAGGTCAGCAGCCCTTGAGTACTAAACTCCTCCTCTTTCCCTGGATCCAGGGCTCCTGCACCTAAAACAACACTTTATAATCTTGCATTCCTTTCACCAGCTGGTTCTATGTCTAAAAGGCCCTGAGGTATCTTTAAGTAGAAAAAGGTAAATGCATGTTTTCCCACGAGGGCGCCCTTGCTCTTGGGGGAGTTCCAGTAGCAGCTTACATCACACTACCCCCAATATTTTCAAAGCCTGGAAAACAAACATACATTTCTCTCATCCTGAATACCACCTCAGAGAACTCTGTTGAAAAGACGAGACTTTTATCTCCTTGACCCTAGGACTAATGGGAGGCCAGCCAGAGCAGAAATAGCGGTGTAATTAAATTCCAAACCTCAACCCATGGTTCTGGTTCTACTGTCACCCACCTTTCAGCTTTCACTGGAACCTGTCTGTTCTCTGGGAGGCATCCTGAGGCTCCAGGGTACCCTTTTAAGACAACTTTGTTACTTCTCTCTTCCTTGTGATGAGTTTCTGGTCTGCCTCTAGAGATTGCTCTACGACAGAGGCACCCTGGGCCATTTAATTCCTCCAACTCTGTATTGTCTAAAATTTTCTCCAATTAAGTTAGCCTCAATTTCTTTCCACATTTCCAAACTTGAACCACTGGCAAGCCCAGATCAGTGTCTCACTGGTGACTCTGGCCAAATGTGAAGCTTTGGTGTAGCAACTGCCACAGAGGCAGCTCCAGCTCCAGTGGGGTTTGCTAGCTATTATCCAGACGTCTCTGGAGGTCAGAAAACCACACAAAGCAAGCCCTGAGATGATGTTGCAACTGACCCACCAGACCCAGGGCCTTCTCTGAATAGGAGATCCCATTTCAGCCTTCAGGATGGTCATAGCCTTGTCCTGGAATATCCTAAAGGCTGCTGCAGTATGAACTCCAGAGTGGAGGACGTAGTAGGTTTATTTGCAATTGCTGGAGATGCCCCCACAGATTCAGCAATTGCTCCTGTCCCTTCTCTGAGCAGCTCTTATTTTGAAGCAGCACAAAATTGACCTGTATAGTTTCCCCCATCCTGCAGCCTGAGTCCAGTGAGATTGGGCCATACTGCCATAATAGTGTGGCAACAGGTGCTTGCTCGGCCCAAAGCAATGTTACAATTGGGGGAAGATCTGCTGGTGTGCCATCCCTGCCCACATCTGTAGCTCCTAGAATTACAAATTACTGAGTCTATGGCATTCTCAGGGTCCTGACAGCAACTTGGCTCTCCTGTTCTCTGGAAAGCAAGACTCTAGACCTGTTGGTAACAATCAGGTCACACACATATCAGGAAGTGGCTCCCTAAATACATACAGGCCTTGCCAGGAGTGACAGATCTTACCCGACTCTGTTACTGATGACTGTGAGATGCCTGGGCCCAGTTCCAAGGAATCACTGAAAAAGGAGAGACATACATACCTTTTGTACAGGGCTGCCTGCTCCCTGATTTGTGGCTCGCTAGGCCATGGACCCAGCAGTCATCAGCCAATTTGTAGTCATAAAAAGTGGTACTTGGGCCCATCATAACCTCTGACTCAACTTTACCTCAGAAGCAGGGTATTAAGTCCTAGGCTATGTTTTCAAGGTGCCAATGAACCTTGTGCAGTATGCAAGTATTCACTGTACCTTTAAGTAGAGAGGTACCAGCCTAAAGTGCATGGCAATGGAGATGGTGACTCTAGAGAGTGAGAAAGATCTTGTCTGTCCTTAATCATTCAGTGCACCTGTCTTGCCCAAAATCTATTTCATCGTAAAAGGAAATTCCTGGAGATGCATTTGGGGAAGTCCCATAAAGAAAAAGGCATACAGGAACAAATGTTGGCCAGCCAAAGTATATCTTTATCAAGGAAACCTTTTGGACTTAAACAACCAAAGGAAAACATTGCTTCAGAAACTCTTTACCCCACCAGGTATTCCATGTGTCCCAGATACAGAGGAGTTTACATTTGAACTAAAGATAGGGCAGCAGAATCAAAGCCAATCTAATTCCAGAGCAATAAATAGCCCATGATTCTGCCTAGTGCACCTCTGAGATCTCAAAACCCAGTGGGGATCGGGCAGAGGCAACAGTACTTTGTATATAGCTAAAGCTAAAGTGAACAACTAGCCTGGGTCATTCCTGGATCCCTTAGCCCAGGCCTTCCTAAGAGTGAAAACAAGTCCCTACCCAAACAGAGAAAACACAGGATCAAGGGAAATGCAAAGCCGCTGGGAAGCATGGGGAATTATAGCACTGGAGTTCTCCCCAGCCAGAGAGAAAATCCACTGTTCTAAGGTTCAGGGGTCAACAGAGGACTTCTAAGCAGGACTGTAGAGCCCTCACTTCACAAATGAATCTCCAGGATCTTTCTCGTATGGAACTTCACTTTAGCTGACACGGTTGCCTTGAGTACATAAAGACTGAGGAGGATTTGTCTAGATCTGTAGAATCACCATCTCCATCCACTCAGCTTGCTCTTCCATGCCAGCACCTTCACCAGCTTCTCCCTTATCTTGGGTTCCCAGAGCATCCTCTGGGGCCAAAAGAACAGATACTAATGATCTGGAAGGTGGTAGACTAATCTGAATAATCTTCCTCAAACAAAAATGCCTGAGGGTGTCAAACCTGATAGGACTCCAAGATGCAGACATTACAGTGCCAACTTATTGGACCATCATTTACTGGGCCAAATTTGGAAGTCCAGTATTTGAAGGGGCAACATTTTTCAAATCCAAACTTTCAGGGCCAAGTGTGTCAGGGCCACACTGTAGGGCAAAACTTGATGTTGGGTAAGAGTTTGGGGGGCCAGGAGATGGAGATCTGGTAAGCAGATCCCATACTCAGAAGATCTTCGCTCTTCCAGATGCTCCAGAAGTGGATTTGGGAAACACGATGACATTCTTTTCGCACTGGATTAACCCTGAAGTGAAATGTCAAAGGCACGAGGAACTCATTCTCCACCCCAAATCTGAGGCAGTGGCCGACTCCAAGACAAAAGAGGTCAAGAAGGTTCCAGCTCCCACCAAAGACCACATCAAAGGAGCTAACTTGAAGGTGACCGGAAAGGAGCCTGAGACCCTGCCGTGCTGTACTAAGGAGGAGCAGGACTTGACCTCTTTAGATGCCTGCACAGTCAGCTCCAGCAACGCTTCCTCCAAGCCATTCAAGCCTGGGGCCCCTGCCATTCCCACAAAATCTTCTCCAAAGTCTACTCCAAGATCTGCTTCCAAATCTGCTCCAAACTCTGACTGCGATTGACTCCTGGCACCCAACCAAGAAATATATCCCAGGTCTCAACTCTCACATCAGCAGAAAGCACTGATTGACACAAAGAGAATACTTATTTCAAGCAAAGGGCATTTGTAAGTTCACCAGCCTCTGCATCCCCCACGAAAAAAGCTTCAAAAAGCCATTTTTGTTAATGTGAAAGTAAGGCATGGCATCTCCAAATATACTCTATACCGTACACAAATGGCTGTTTGTGTTTCCTTCTCTTCAATATGGGTGTGATGATGAGAACAGAGGGAGTAGAAAATGTCTCTCGTGAGACAGGAGCTTAAAACCAAATTTCATTTCAGATGGTTCAGCACCTACACGCTCCTCCTAGCCCCACCCTGGGCTCTTAATAAGGGACTTGAGCAGGAAGGAAGCCCTTGTTTAAGATGAGTCCTGTGTTCAGAAATTCAAATATTTAAATATTTGCTATTTCCAAGAAATACTCCCAACACTGGGGAGACACCAGTGACCAACAGCCAGCTCTTCTTCACACAGAACTCATAGGATCTAGCTCAGACAAAGACTGAAGCAGTACAAGAGTTAGAGGAAACAGATGAATACACAGGACCCCACTTAGCCTAATTTGGGGGTTGAGGGGCTGTTCATGGAAAATATCCTGAAAGAAATGATATGTAGTCTTAATCTGAAAATTGTAAGGGACTCAAGAGTTGGAGGAAGTAGGGGAGAGGGTAGAAGATGGGGAAAAAAATTAAAATGCATCTGGTCCCTGTACCAACTCCCCACAATAGACGTAATTATTATTTACTGCAAATATGTACTAACAAAAATTACAAATTTTTAATTTAAAAAAAATATGAGCAGGAGGTATCCAGGGGAGGTGGAGGAGCTGACATGCTTCCCCAGGCTCTGAGCAAAGGAGCAGCATCAAACACAGGGTGCCCTGTGTCAGAGAGCGGTGACTGACAGGCTCACTGTTATACTGAAATCCCTGTGTGATAAAAAGAGCACATTATAGAGGAGGAGGGGTCCCGGGTTCCTGGGGCACCTCGGCCCGTACCCAGCCGCGCCTGGCCGTCGGTGTGCGGAGGAGGAGCTGCGCGGATCCGGAGAGCCTGCAGAGGCCCCTTCCTTTGTCTGGAGGAGGAGGGGTCCCGGGTTCCTGGGGCACCTCGGCCCGTACCCAGCCGCGCCTGGCCGTCGGTGTGCGGAGGAGGAGCTGCGCGGATCCGGAGAGCCTGCAGAGGCCCCTTCCTTTGTCTGGAGGAGGAAGGGTCCCGGGTTCCTGGGGCACCTCGGCCCGTACCCAGCCGCGCCTGGCCGTCGGTGAGCGGAGGAGGAGCTGCGCGGACCCGGAGCCGCCTGCAGAGGCCCCGTCCTTTGTCTGGAGGAGGAGGGGTCCCGGGTTCCTGGGGCACCTCGGCCCGTACCCAGCCGCGCCTGGCCGTCGGTGTGCGGAGGAGGAGCTGCGCGGATCCGGAGCCGCCTGCAGAGGCCCCTTCCTTTGTCTGGAGGAGGAGGGGTCCCGGGTTCCTGGGGCACCTCGGCCCGTACCCAGCCGCGCCTGGCCGTCGGTGTGCGGAGGAGGAGCTGCGCGGATCCAGAGAGCCTGCAGAGGCCCCTTCCTTTGTCTGGAGGAGGAGGGGTCCCGGGTTCCTGGGGCACCTCGGCCCGTACCCAGCCGCGCCTGGCCTTCGGTGTGCGGAGGAGGAGCTGCGCGGATCCGGAGCCGCCTGCAGAGGCCCCTTCCTTTGTCTGGAGGAGGAGGGGTCCCGGGTTCCTGAGGAACCTCGGCCTGTGCCCAGCCGCGCCTGGCCATCGGTGTGCGGAGGAGGAGCTGCGCGGATCCGGAGCCGCCTGCAGAGGCTCCTTCCTTTGTCTGGAGGAGGAGGGGTCCCGGGTTCCTGAGGCACCTCGGCCTGAGCCCAGCCGCGCATAGCCATCTGTGTGCAGAGGAGGAGCGGGGTAGATCCGGAGTGCCCGCAGGAGGCCCTTCCTTTGTCTGGAGGTTTGTGGATATCTCTGCAAGCAGGGAGGGATCACAGGCTCCTGAGGCACTGCGGTCTGTGGTGAGTACCCTAACCCGGCTGTGATCCAAGAGCTGTGGATCTACCAAGGGGCAGGTGGGCGCACAGTGTCCCTGAGGCCCAGCTTGTCTGGAACTGCGGAGTTCTGAACAAGCAGAGAAGGGCCATTGGTTCTGCAGGCCCAATGGCCTGGGGTAGAGTGGTGCCAGAGTCTCAGTAGCTGCAAACATAGAAGTGGATTTTCAACAGATCCTGAGGAGGCTTTCAAATAACACTTGAAACACAGAAATATAGGAAAATGACAAAACGAAAGACCAAATTACAACCTCAAACCTCCAGCCCATCTCAGGAAACCCTAGGAGAAGTGTATTTAGAAGAAAATATATCCCATCCTCCTCATATATTAGACACAATAGCTACTGAAGTTGACAAGCAACTCCAGGAAGCTTTAAAGAAATTCAAACTCGAAATAATTTCCCAGATAAAAGAAGAAATGATAAAAGAAATGAAAGAGATTCTAAATATATCTAAAGAAAACACAGATAAAAAATTGGAGGAATTAAACAAAAAGATAGAATCCCTAGACAAGCAATATAAGAAACAAACAGAATACATAATGCAGATGCACAGAGATATACAGGAAATAAAAAACTCCACTGAAAGTTGTAAAAACCGCCTTAATGAAAGTGAAGATAGAATTTCAGACCTTGAAGACAGGATTGCAGCAAGTGAACAGGAAAGGAAAGATCTTTTAAAAATAACAAGGAATCAGGAAACAACAATTCAACAACTGCAAGATGATGCAAAGAAGAATAACATAAGAATGATAGGGATTAATGAAAAAGAAGGAGACAACATAAAGGATATCAAGAGGATATTTAGAGAAGCAATAGCTGAAAACTTCCCAAGCATGAGATCAGAAACTGACATCAGGATCAGTGAAGCATATAGAACTCCAAATAGTCATAACCAAAATAAAACTACACCCAGACATATAATAATCACCATCCCAGAAATCCAACACAAGAATAGATTATTAAAAGCTGTCAGAGAGAAAAGACAGATCACTTATAAAGGAAAACCTATCAGAATCACAGCAGACTTCTCATCACAAACAATAAAGTCAAGAAGAGCATGGAGTGAAGTATTCCAGATCCTAAAGCAATATATCCTGCAAAACTATCATTTAAAATAGATGGTGAAATACGATACTTCCATGACAAAGAACAGCTGAAGAACTTCATGAACACCAAACCAACCCTGCAAAAAATATTGAAAGACAGTTTAGATACACAAAGGAAAAAACCACTAAGCAAAGCAAATAATTAAACAGAACAGAAAGATAAAGATGCAACAGCAGAGAGATAAGAATCCTACAATTAAACAACATTTAACAGTAATAACCATTAATGTAAATGGTCTCAATGCACCAATCAAAAGAAACAGACTAGCAGAATGGATCAAGAAACAAAATCCAACCATATGCTGTTTACAGGAAACCCATCTAACCCAGAAGGATACTCACAGACTGAAAGTCAAAGGATGGAAAACAATTCTTCATGCAGCAGGAATCCAAAAAAAGGCAGGAGTAGCCATTCTGTTTGCAGACAACGTGAACTTTAAACCAACAATGACCATAAAGGACAAAGAAGGTCACTACATACTCGTAAGGGGAAAACTCCAAGAGGAAGAGATAACTATCTTAAATATATACGCACCAAACTCCAGAGCGCCCAGTTATATAAAACAATTATTAACAGAAATGAAAACTCAAATTATCAGTAACACAATTGTAACGGGAGACCTTAATACACCATTGACACCAAGGGACAGATCGACCAGACAGAAAATGAGTAAAGAAATAACAGAACTGAATCATACCTGTGAACAAATGGGTTTGATAGACATATACAGAATGTTCCACCCAACAACATCAGAATACACATTCTTCTCAGCAGTACATGGATCATTTTCTAAAATAGACCATATATTAGCTCATAGAACATATTTAAACAAGTGCAAAAGAGCTGAAATCATCCCTTGCATGTTATCGGATCACAGCGCTCTGAAATTAGAAATTAATGATAAAAGATACCGCAAAAATCCCACAAACACATGGAAACTGAATAACACACTCTTGAGTAATCAGTGGGTCACAGAAGAAATTAAAGAAGAAATCAAACAATACCTAAAAGAAAATGAAAATGCAGATACAACTTACCGGAATCTGTGGGATACAATGAAAGCCGTTCTGAGAGGAAAATTTATTGCACTCAATTCCCACATCAGGAAAACAGAACGAATACAAATAAATAACTTGATGCTACACCTCAAACAGCTAGAAAAGGAAGAGCAAGTCAAGCCCAAAGCCAAAAGAAGAGAGGAAATTATAAAAATCAGAGCAGAAATCAATGCAATAGAGACTAAGAAAACAATCCAAAGGATCAACAAATCAAAGAGTTGGTTCTTTGAAAGAATAAATAAAATCGATAAGCCCCTAGCCAACCTTATTAAAAAAAGGGAAGAAAAAGCTCAAATTCATGCAATAAGAAATGAAAAAGGAGAAGTCACTACAGACCCAATAGAAATACAGAAGATCATCAACACCTATTTTGAAAACCTCTACTCTCAAAAGTTTGATAACACAGAAGAAATAGACAGTTTCTTAGAAGCATATGAAGTGCCAAAGCTAGATCAAGAGGATGTAAAACTGTTGAATAACCCAATCTCGGTTACTGAAATTGAAAATGTAATTAAGTCCTTACCCACCAAGAAGAGCCCAGGCCCAGATGGATTCACTGCAGAATTCTACAAGAAATACAAAGAAGACCTAATGCCGACACTCCTCAAACTATTCAATGAAATTGAAAGGGAAGCAATCCTTCCTAAGTCATTCCTGGAAGCAAATATCACTCTAGTACCAAAACCTGAGAAAGACCCAACTAAAAAAGAGAACTATAGACCGATCTCCCTAATGAACACAGATGCAAAAATCCTCAATAAAATATTGGCAAATAGGATCCAGCAAATCATCAAGAAGATTATACACCATGACCAAGTGGGATTCATCCCAGGAATGCAAGGATGGTTCAATATACGCAAATCAATAAATGTAATTCACCATATCAATAAAGCCAAAAATAAGAATCACATGATCATTTCTATAGATGCAGAAAAAGCCTTCGATAAGGTCCAAC